CGAATTAGCTTGTACCCGGTTTAGATGCTAAACCACTGACGTTGGCAGGGAGGGAAACAAAGGGGCATTTTCCCACCTTCCCCTAAAGGCCTTCAAATTTTATTAATAATTCAAAATTGGAATAAACAAAAAAATCAATTCAAGTCCTAGGTGAATGATCAAATATATACCTACATATATTATAATATAAGTAACGTTCTACTATAAATTCTTATCAAAATTTATGTTGAAATGGCCGCATCCTCGCATGCCCCCACCATTAGAAGTCACAAAAATACCGTAAAAGACCAAAAAATTTCGCGCCTGCGGCGCTTTGCCTGCGCAAACGCTTGCGGCGGAGCTGCGAGGATCACTTCCTACAAATTTGCCCCCTTCCCTCAATACAAAATCCTGTCTACGCCAATATTGGTGGTCCCATTTAAGCCTATGTGTCTAGTAGCCTAGTTCTGTCTGTAGAATTAATTCTACTTATGTTAATTTTTGGAGCCCGAGCCCCCATAGTAATTTTGAAGTTCCGGCGCCTATGTTTACAAGCTATACACTCTGCAACAAAGAGACGGGGAATGCACCCCCTGTCAGAAATACATTGAAAACATTATTCTTCATTTTATTAATATTATTATTTTTTTAAGTAAGCTAATGTTTGAATCTAGTTATTGAAGTGAAACTTCTTAGGCGGCGTTCTGATATTTGGACGACATGTTCTGTGGACAATGGAGAGTGATTTGAAAAACGCGTCACGGGTAAATTTCGTTACTCGAGAGAGAACTGAGAGAAGAAAGATATAACGTGAAAAGACGGAGAAATACAGCTATTAATTGACACAAACCAAGGAATATAAGCGTAAAAAGGATTGCCTATTATTGACAAGCTCCGATACAATTGTGATGTCACGTCACTATAGATGCGCGTCTTCCTTTTGTTATACTATTATCATTAGTTGTATTTCTTTCAAGAGTTTGGAACACTCGACCTACTCGTTTCTGTGTTTAGTCACCCCCGATTTGCAGGGAACAGATGCGTGGTGCAACAAACACTTTTCGAAAGGAATAAGCGCGTGAAGCCCCGGAGCTGCTTTGGAGCTCCTCCTAGGTGTGAAAGGAATACAACCATTGTGTTGTGGGATTATTTTCATTATTTATAAAAACATCATATAACTTACCCAATCACCTAGAAAAATTTATTTTTTGGAAGCTCAAAATAACCATTTTTGGGCGTGGCACCCGGAAAAATTTTGGGGCATTCATTCAACTTCTTAAATTAGTAATTTGGACCAATACAACAATCCACGCGCCGCCACTGCCTGTATGCACCCCCCTGAAACTAATCCTGGCGGCGCCCATGATCATATTGTTTTATCTAAACTCCTCGTGAAGTCCCACACAAATATTTTTCTTCCGTTTGATCTGAAAAGAAAAAAAAAAAGAAAAATAGCGATAATGATAAAGAAACATGTGTATCATTTATGATACACGTGGCCTGTGAAAGAGGTGACATTCGAAAACTTTTTCGTGGGCCAGTGTATCAAAAAAGATACACATTCAAAAAAAAATCGAAATAAATGAAAAAAATTATGGAAAAATGCATTCTTACATATAAAATAACTTTAAAAACCTAAATAAGTAAAAACATTTTTTTTTTTGAAAATTCGTGGAATTGGAAATATGGGCTTGGCGCTGAACGTGTTAATCTAGTTGAATCAGGATAAATCTCTGGAAAAAAATCAAGAGAAATCTCCAAAAATCAAGATAAATCACCTGTAAATCAATGTAGGTAAATCCATTTAAAAATTGTCAAATTTTTCTGTACAAAATACAATAGACATGACAACAAAGACCCAAGGTAAAACATTAGATATATTGACAAGCAAACAGTGAGAAACTGTAGATCATTAATCAGTTTAAATCTCCATAAATCCCAAACAAAATCACAAGAGATCACCGAGATCACTGTACTGTACTTAAATGTCTTAAACTACAACAAATCTCTGTTCATCGCCTAAAATCATTATATTTACTAAATCAGGGTATATGTTACTAAAACTCATAAATTATTAAAAATCTTGTGGGGATTTTAAATCGGTGTACAGGGTATTTGATTATATTTGGCACCATACGTACAGCGTTTACTATTCAAGATAGAAAAAAATTTTAAATACAAAACTTGACAGTTTTTTTCTATATTTTCTGATAACGTTATCAGAGAAAACAAAATCGCATTGGAAATGGAGAAACGTAAGCAACTTCGACTTTTTTTAATGGAACTGTATATTATGCGAAAAAATGAGAGATCTATTTTTTCTGATTCCAAATATACCGGGTGTCTACGAGATCAGTTTCGCGCTGGCATTTGGTGAGTTTTTATTCGATGGCAAAGATTTTTGGTATGGAGTGTAGGTTTGAGAAATGTCATCTTTTGACATGTGTGTCAATGTTTGGTAACTTCCGGTTTGACCGGAAATGGTCCTAACTCCGTAATTTTGAATAGCATCCCAATAATTTTTTCGCATTTTTGGTATCTACGGATAATGATGTGTACGAAAACGTCAAATTTGAACATTTTTGAAGAAATTTTAGAGCTCTGGATGAAAATTTATTTTTGAACAGAAAGTGACGTACCGGTCCTAAAATTGTTATTTTTGTGCTACCCATTCTGTAAGTTGACTTTTTTGACCTACGTCCATGAACTGTAAGTGTCACTTACAGTCCGGGTCAAAAAAGTAAACTAAAAGGGCCAAAAAAGTTACTTTTTTGACCGGGCCAAAAAAGTGTTGATATGAAAGGTGACAATTGCTTGGTTCATATCTCTGTCAAAATAATGTCTCAAAAAAACTCGACTTCCCAAATAAAAAACCCAAAACAAATTAAGGATACAATTTTATTGAAACAAATAGAAAATACCTAGACGTCGAAAACTTGAAATTAGCATAAACAGATAGGTAATAATATTAATAGTTATATTTGCGAAGACGATCCCAAACCAACCCTGAACGCTAAAGTAAGAATCACACCATAAAAAGCCATTAATATTGTTTCATATCAATGGCTTTTCATGATGTGATTCTTTCCTTAGCGTTCAGGATCAGTTTGGGAACGTCTTCGCGAACAAAGCAAATAGGTGAACCATCAAATTCATGATATTTATTATCTTGAATGTACGGTAGCACAAAAAATATCATATGCACCTCGACTTGTAGCGTGTAGTTTTTTGGCCTCAAATGCTTGCAAACCTCGGCCCTACGGGCCTCGGCTTGCAAACTGCATCCTCGGCCAAAAAAGTAACACTTACAAGCCTTGGTACATAAATAACTATTTCAACCCACACAATCGTAGAAAAATGCGAGTGCCAAGATGTTATCCTTTTACATATCACATTTTGCGTGATAACTCAATAAAATCAGTGAAATCACCCAACTTTCATAACAAGAGTTTTTTACCTTTTTCAAAATAAAACCAACTATGCATTGAAACTTTTCATTTATGTTAGTTTTTAATTATTTTCTTATTATTTTTATAATGCACTACTATAAATGTTAAAACTACTTATAAATGAACCCCTGTATGAAGAACGCTTTTCAAAAGGAGCTGGTGTTTTTTTTTCTTGACAAGCCATTGACAAGATCTGTGGGCAAGAGGCAGATATGTTTATTTGTCATTGTTTGACATCTCGGGAATTTGTAAATACAAAGTTTGAATAGAGGGGTTTATTTATAAGTAGTTTTATCAGTTATAGTAATGCATAGTAAAAATATTGGAAAAATAATTAAAAACTGGCATGAATAAAAAGTTTTAATGCATAGTTGGTTTTATTTTGAAAAAGGTAAAAAACATTTGTTATGAAAGTCGGGTGATTTCACTGATTCCATTGAGTTATCACGTAAAATGTGATTTTTTCAGCTTTGGAAGCCTTTGGAGAACAAGCATAGGATAATAACTTGGTATTCGCATTTTTCCATCATTGTGTTGGTTGAAAATAACAATTTTGAGACCGCTCCGTCACTTCCTGTTCAAAAATAGATTTTCCTCCAGAGTTCTGAAATTTCTTCAAAAATGTTCAAATTTGACGTTTTCGTACACATCATGATCCGTAGATACCAAAAATGTGAAAAAATTATTGGGATGCCATTCCAAATTACCGAGTGAGGACCATTTCCGGTCAAACCGGAAGTTACCAAACATTGACACACATGTCAAAAGATGACATTACTCAAACCTACACTCCATACCAAAAATCTTTGCCATCGAAAAAAAACTCACCAAATGCCAGCGTGAAACTGATCTCGTAGACACCCGGTATAGTCCGTTGCATGGTTCTTGAGCTACGGCTACTGAATAGACAGAAAGAACAATGGGCTATTGCTGCGTTGTCATATCAATAATAATATTTATTATTACATGAAAATGAAGGAAATTTTATTGCAATTTTCATGTATTAATAAATATTATCGATATGACAACTGACAACGCAGCAATAGCCCATTGTCCCCTCTGTCTATTCAGTAGCTGTAGGTCAAGAACCATGCAACGGACTTTATATACAAGGTTGCGCCCATGGTAAAAAATGTTATTGAAAATAACATATTTAAATTTCATTCAAATATCACGGGTAACCAATTTCCGTCTAAATATTGCGGGGTCCTTTGAGCCAATTCTGATGTGCCGTTTTTTTAAAGACCTTAAAACAAGTTTCGAAAAATCAACCAATCACAGTTTAAACATGGCGGCCATTAACGCGGCCTTAACTTGAAAGCGCTTTTTAAAACTGTTACCTTTAAAAATTTGTATGGTTTAAAATACACATTTTTGAAAGTGACCAGTTTTAAAAAGCGCTTTTAAGTTAAATGAGGATATTGCATACAGCTGCAAAACTTTTGTATTTAAATTTTTTTGATATCTTTTCAAATAACCCCTGTAGTGTGGGGGTCAATATATGGGGAAAGACCCTGTACAACTGAAAGAGATAGGAAATGAAACAAGTATTTTTCTTATAAAAGTAGAAATGTTTTATTTAATTACGTTATCATAAACAACGCATTTATTCAAATTCAAATTTTTAATTTCCTAAGTGAAAATACTATCTATAATTTGTTTCGATTAATTTACAGAAATACCTACATTATGAACAAAAAAAACGTAAAGTACAAGTAAATAAACAACTAGGAAATATTTGAAAACCAGTTTCAGTAAATTTGTCTTAAGATCTAAAGGTACAAGCAATCTGATTAAAAATCAGACATAATCAATATACAAAAATAAGATTGTTGAATGTTTGGTCTCTTTGGTACAGAAACAGTAACAATAAACCAAAAACAAACACAACACACAAAAAAATATTCATCTGAAGTTAAAACCTGGGTCTATAACTCCTGTCAATGTTCCAACTAGTTTTATATCTACTGGTTGAATACTCACTCTCTTAGCATGGGCAGCACATGCATTGGCATCAATGACCAGATTGGTGAGGTAAGTTTCGGCTATCGCTTGTAAGGCTTCTAAGGCTTCCACTGTTATCCTTTTTTCTTGCGAACAGGCTTGCATTATTTCTTGGATCAGTCTTGCGAATGGTGCTTTATTCATCATAAAGTTGGTGCTGCCTTGTAATCGTTTCATCAGTTTGAGCATTTCTCTTGAACACGACTGGTGCCTGGGAACGTTTTTGACTACGTAGAATACTTGAAGTTTTTTTTTTTTAGCGCTTTTTTTCGGTATGTCGTTCTTTTTCCTCATTTTGCTTTTGAGTCTTAATAATAAAATTCTGTTCGTCAATGTAAGTACATTTAACTGGAAAAAAACTTTCTAACTTACGTTCCAGAATTATTATGGCCCCTTTTTTCCAAACTTTTATAATGCAACAAGAAGTACAACAACCAACAAACCAGTAAAAAACCTAACCTAGAAATCTGAGGATTCAAATAGGTTGTCATTTGAGTTGTCAATTTCGGGCCTGTTCGATAACACGAGGTGGGTTCGCCTTGCTCACTCCGTGCACTCTGAGTGACTCCATTCGCACTCCAGCCGTTCGGGTATTGCTTTTTACCCTATTAAGGGAGATCAGTGATTAGGGGTGACTCCATTAGCTCTGTTCACTCCACTCCAACTCCGCGCTGAATAGCCGAACCCAGTTACGGTTGTTGGTATGAAAATTATTTCCACAATTCTGTTTGGTTACGTTCCTTTCCATTTTTTTTGCTATTTTTGATCCGAACCGTTCCTTTATTTAGTTCGGTTCAGAACGAGTTTATCTGACATTTTATTTTGGAGCATCCGGAGCAAATCTTTTTCCTCTGTTTATTGCTTAAGCCGAGTTCAAAAAACTGTTAGAAAATATTTTGAAACGAGATTTCGCCTCGGTTCAAAAACAAACGCATGCGCAATAGTTTAAGAAAGTTGACAATTTGTTGTTTATGTTTATATTTGTGTTGTGTCTTTGGTAGCAGGTTATAGAATCATGAACAGAATACTCTTAAATTTTTTGAAAAATAGAAAATAGGCTATTACCATGGCTAATTACCAGAAAAAAAAAAACGAAAATCCTAGGTTAAGTATGTATGGTTAAACTGTGGTTAAATTCTGGTTTGAAAACCTCATTTTTTCTCGAATGAAAGTAATGACGTAATTTTTAAATACGTTCAAAAACATTTCGAACTGTTGTGGTCGAGAAAAAACACCTATAATCTTGTTAAAATCATCACCTTTTCTTCATTTAAAATTGTCGAAAAAACAAGCACAACCTGAATCGGAAGCATCCCATCGAAGCCTGCGGTTGACGTCACCTCTAAAAGTTGCTTTCCTGCCAATTATGCTGCTAATACTGGTGACGTCACTCGCAGGCCTTGCCGACTCGAGAATTGGCGAACGTACGCCTTAAGCCTAGTACACACAACCGAAGAGTGCGGATTTTTTCTATTGGTCGAATATGTCAAATTTAAATGTATTCGACCAATAGAAAAAAATCCGCAAAATAAAAAACCGCAATTCGTGGTTATGAGTACTAGGCTTTATGAGGATGAGCAATCCCTGTCTGTTAGTTTACGATTCATTCCTTTCTCCTGCTGTTCTGCAATCACGTGACCCAAAATCCCTGTTGCTCCAATCTACTTCAAATTATGGATATTACAACGTAAGGTTTGTTGCCCCAAATGTGTCAATTCAACAATCTAGGAAAAACTGAAAACTCTCTTTTTACTAAGTGAAACTTCTGGAGTGAGCTCCACTTACTCCACTTCGTATGTTGTGGTTTGTTAAACCGGAGCCACGTGAAAAGGGTTATTGTGCTTTTGAAATCCTAAAGCCTAGTCTCCATGGACGCGAAATCGCGAATTTTTTTTTGCGGATATTTTCCGATTGGTTGGAATTTGACATTTAACATTTGATTTTTTTATGGCGGGAAAAATTCGCGAATTTTTTAACTTCTTGCGGCGTCGCAAAAAAGTTAACTATTTTTTAACTTTCCGCGAAATTTCGCCAAAAAAAAATGAGGTTATGTGGTGTTACTTTCAGTTTAGTTTTGTTTATGTTTTTGTCGGTATGTGCTCTGTTCTCTGTGAGTCGTTGATGTGTTTTATACTTGTAGATACCTAATAAAGAATGGATACTGCCAAAGAATTGAATATTGTAGACCCGAAAACAGACATAAATTACAGTTTGCTGGTTGATGAGGAAGATTATAATAGGGCCTTACTTAAATGTAATTAAGACAACACCAAGACACATATCTTTTTTTGTTTTTTAGTAATCACTTTCATGGTTTTCAAAGATTAGTGTTTGAAATTCAAAGCATTTAAATCGAATTCAAATTGATTACAAACAACAACACATAGGTAACCTTAACCTGTTAAATAAAACGCGAATTTCGCGCTTATGGAGACATGGGAATAATTTGCTCGGAAATAGCCACCAAAAAATGACACTTAAAAAATTCGCTTTCCGCGATTTCGCGTCTATGGAGACTAGGCTTAAGGGGGGATTTTCATGCATCCGTTTTTCCGACGAAATATGTCCGAAAAACATTCTATTCTGACATAATCGTATATAAATATGTCAAAATAGAAGACTTTACGGACATATTTCGACGGAAAAACGGATGCATGAAACTCCAGCCTAAGGATGATACACGCTTACAGGATTGTTTATCGGCCTCGTTTTTGGTATTCGCCGCCATATTGGTGTGTCACCATTTCCGAAGTCATAACTAAAGCTGGGGTCGAGATGGCCAAGCGGAGCTCGAGTAGTTTTTTTTTTATTTATTTATTTTTTTTTTTTTTTATCACGTGACCAAAAAGCTTTTGGAGTGTCTTAGTAAAACCGAACGGCCAAGGTGCATTTGGAGTTTCTTAACTTAACCTATCCCACAAATGACAAGTATTATTTTAAAAACAACAAACGTTTTTCCAGTCTTTTCTATGAATTTTTGGTATTCGGTGCCTATATTTGATTTTGTTGAAGACGTTTATTTCGGCGACTTGTCTGAAGAAGTCATCAAGATTATCATTGGAAATTTCAGTGAAATTACGCGTTGCTTGCATGTCAAATACGCAGTTTAAAATCCATTCCATTTATTTACCAGGTAATTACAGATTAAATATTGATTTGTTGACTGTTGATTAGATTAGTCGAATAGTCGATTGTCGCAATCAAAAAAATAGGATAAATGACACAAAATCACGAAAACGCACACAGTGCGCATGCCCGCTCCGGCGCTTGCTGATGACGAGAGGTGGGTTCGGGATGACTGTTCTATAAACTCCAAGTGCACTAAACAGTCCCGATGCGTTCGGGTTTTGTCATTTTGAGCTAAAAGAGTAACTCCACATGCGTTCGGGAAGGACGTGCGGGAGTCAAAAGAGCTGACTCTGAAAGCACCACCTCGTCATCAGCAAGCGCCGGAGCGGGCATGCGCACTTTGTGCGTTTTCGTGATTTTGTATCATTTATCCTATTTTTTTAATTGCGACAATCGACTATTCGACTAATCGACAGTCAACAAATCAATATTTAATCTGTAATTTCTTGGTAAATGGATGGAATGGAATGGATTTTAAACTGCTTATTTGACATGCAAGCAACGCGTAATTTCACTGAAATTTCCAATGATAATCTTGATGACTTCTTCAGACAAGTCTGCGAAATAAACGTCCTCAACAAAATCAAATATAGGCACCAAATACCAAAAATTCATAGAAAAGACTAGAAAAACGTTTGTTGTTTTTAAAATAATACTTGTCATTTTGTGGGTTAGGTTAAGTTAGGAAACTCCAAATGCACCTTGACCGTTCGGATTCACTAATACACTCCGAAAGCTTTTTGGTCACGTGATAAAAACGCCACTCCAACTCTACTCGAGCTCCGCTGGGCCATCCCGAACCCAGCTGAGGTGGTGCTTTCAGAGTCAGCTCTTTTGACTCCCGCACGTCCTTCCCGAACGCATGTGGAGTTACTCTTTTAGCTCAAAATGACGATACCCGAACGCCTCGGGAGTGTTTATTGCAGTTGGAGTTTATAGAACAGTCATCCCGAACCCACCTAATGTCGTCAGCTGTTTACTTACAGCCTACTTCAAGGCGAGAAATAACATGCGGCCAACGTCACAACTGATGATTTGGAGGAGGGGGGATTTGTTACACACAGGCCTTATGCGATGCGGATAGGCCATCCTATGACAACTGGTAACAACGGAACTGTTTGTTTGTATTGTCATATTGTCAATGTTAAATTCACTGAAATGTTCATCAAACATTAAAAAATGAATAATTCCATGATGGATTACCCCCAAAAATGGAAAATTTGGCTGATAATGTAGTTGCTGGCCTAATGCCTGAAAAGTCTAGAAGCGTGTATGAAAAAACCTAGGAATGCTATACCTATATATTTTTTTTCATTATAGTACTCAGTACTTATAGTACTCAATCCAATAAAGTATGTCAGTATGACATCACAAATGAAGTCTATAATAATGTCATTATGACACGCCGGAATATAATAGTATATTATGCAATGATCATGTAATGATAGCCATTAATACACGAGCATGTTGTAGGATACGAAACGAGCCGCAGGCGAGTTTCGTATATAACATGCGAGTGTATTAATGGCCATTACATGAGAGTTGCATACACTATTTTTTCTACTGCCATTGATAAAACTTGATATGATGATATTTAGATATGTCAACATTACGCTTAACTTTGAATAGAGATGTTATAATTGAGTAATCCATACAGTTGAAGGTTTCATTTTTTGTTGTAATTCTTCAAAATATACTATCAAAACATTTTCTGAAAAGGACGATGTGTTTTTGGTGTTTCCAATCCATAAATTGTCCATATAATTTTTCGCAAATTTTCTTGGACTTGTCCGGTTGTATATTATTACCTGTATTTGTCGCCCTTTCTGTAATTTCTGGAGGTGTTAGTGAAAATTCTTCGTTATCACTCAATATTTCCATAATAATGCCTTATCCCAAACATTAGGTAACTTTAATAACAATTCGAAGTATTTTTTTCATGAAATTATTGTTTTTCGCTAAATTACCATGGAAAAGCCATAAACAGAGTGCTGTCATCATTCAAAAAAAATTAAAAAAAATTCTTAACTGGTGGCGCCATCTATTGACAATGTATAATAATGACAAAAGTAAAAATTCTTCCTTATCACTCATTATTTCCATAATAATTATTCTTTGTCCCAAACTTTAGGTAACTTTTAAACAATTCGAAGTATTTTTTATAGTTATCAAAATAATTGTTTTACGCAAAATTACCGTTAAAAATGTTTAATATCTTAACTAGTGCTGCCATCTATCAACATTGTATAATATTAAAAATGAGTATTATAATGAAAATCTGTATCGTAATG